TGTTTCCATGCACACTAGTAACTAGTGGCGTTTTTCAAGCTTCAGCATTTAGGGGCAGACAAAAAAATTTTTGTAGAGTTTTTGGGAGCGGTTTTTCCAGCAGAAAAAAACACTGAATGCTCCTAAACACTACTAAAATGCTCTTAACAGCTTTTTTCTAGCTTTTGTTTTTTTTCTACATCTACGATAAAAATGCTAATAAAATACTAATGCTCCTAAACACTTCTAAATGCAGCTAAAAGGGCTCTACAAGCTGGCACAAAAACGCATTATTAGCATTTTGATCCAGTTTTGTTTTTTCTAGCTTTTTTCCCAAACACAGTTATAAAAGTGAATCTGTTTGCATTTGTTATTATTGCTGACATTTCACTAAAATTGCAAGGTCCCAATCTCAAAATGCTTGGCATTCCCGGGTGTCTTCCCTCTTTGATGATGATGTCACTGCCTGCAGTACAGAAGCTGCAGTAAGTGTATTAGCCTACAGCCACCCCCACACAAGTCTTTTTCTTCAACTGGTTTAAGATGGCATAGTGGAGCAACAATAAATAAGCTGACCTTGCATGGAGTGCAGAGTTTTCTTTAAAGAAACTTTGTTACCAAACCTCACTTTTTAATTTAAGTAGAAATAAAGGCAAAATCAGCATGATATGATTCAGAGCAAAAGAAAAAAAAGTAATCAAACAAAACAAAGTCCCTCGTTATGTCATTGTCCCCATCAGAGTTTGCAATCCATGTCCCTCCGTAAAAACATCAGGGTCCCCATCAGAGCCCCTCCCCTTACATCAATGCCCCTATCAGAGTCCCCCTTACATTAGTTTCCCCACCAGAGTCCCCTCTTACATCAGTGTCTCCATCAGAGTCCCCTTTCACATCAATGTCTGCTTACATCAGTGTCCCCATCAAAGTCGCCTTTATATCAGTGCCTCAATCCTAGTCCCTGCTTACATCAGTGCCACCATCAGAGGCTGCCCAACATTAGTGCCCCATCAGAGTCCCCTCTTCACCCTTACATCTGTGCCTCCACAAGAGCTCCCTCCCCTCCTAAATCAATGCCTTGATCAGAGTCCCCCTTACATCATTGTCCCCACTTACATCAGTGTTACCTTTAAATCACTGTCCCCATCAGAGTGCCCTCTGACATCACTGTCCCCATCAGAGTCCCTTCTTACATCCTCCCTTACCTCTTTAATTTGGCATACAGCATGACTGTAACTGTGTAGCAGCAGGGCGGGAGCTAGGAGCCAGGGACGTCTGGACAAATTACATTCTGCCTTCCTAAGAATGCTGGGGCAAGCATGTCATTGGTTGTTTGGATGTGGATGGTGGGGACCCCTGATCAAGAGAAGAGAAAAAAAAATGTTTCTATTGCATGAGGTGTGTATGTTTCCTTCCATCGCATCTTCCTCATGGTCTGTGCTTTGAAAATAGTAATTTGTCAGTCTGGAAGGTTAGTAAGCAGAAACTGTCTTGTGCATTGAACTCCCCATCTGACCTCCATCATTATCCACTTCACCCAGAAGGAAGTACACCTACCAGAAATGGTCATATTGTCACATTACCTTGGTATATTTTTTTTTCTGCAGGCTTTGAGATTTGATGTTAATATGATCCTAGAGGCTAATTAGCTGCTGGATCACTTTACAGGCAGCGGAAGCCCCCCCCCCCCCCCCCGGTGCCTTCTGCCACCTTCCCATGCTCTCCTGTCCCACAGGGGAGCCCTGAAATAAAGCTGGCACTCCTGCCGGCTGACCATAAAGATGACTGAGGACTGGAACATCCCCGATCATCTCTATGGTCTAAGAAACCGTAAGCAACAAGTATGTTGTCACTTCTGGTTTTGGTCTCATGTAAACAGAAGTGTCAGAATAGGTTTGGGAAGCAAGTGCACTACTACTAAAACAATAGGTTGTATTGTCAATGGTGATCTCACCAGTTCACTTCCACACTACAGTAAGTGTTGTCACCGTAACCAATATGACATTACAGAAGAAAATAAGTACCCCATAGAGGGGGACAAAGTTATCAGTGACAGTAATAGTGACTGGGTTACTGAAAAAGGTTTAATTTTCTTATAGTATCAATCTAGTATCAAAAGTTTATCTAAAAAGTGAAGGCATACATAAAAATCACCAGCATTGTGAAGCAATTGATGGGCTTCAGTCATGTGCTGAAAAACACTAAACACCGGACAAACAAGACAAACTGATAACAGATAAATATACAACATCTAATAGTCCCAAATCAAACCATGCATAGTGTTATACTGCAGCATCTGCCATGTGTAGGTACTAAAAAATTGACTAGGTATCCCTTATGCCTGGTTTGTTGGGAATCAATCTTTGCCACTACGCAGATAACAGGCCCAGAATCACTACATGACCGGATATCGTATGTACTCTCCAGCGCCTCAGGATATGCACAGCCAAAAGGGAAGCCAAGGGTACAAGGACAGCGACAACCAAAGGAAATGCTTCAGGGGTGCAGCCAGGGGCGGACTGACCATTTGGAAACTCGGGCACTGCCCGAGGGCCCAGGGTCAGTAGGGGGGTGTCAGGGCTCCCAGGTATGACCAGAGGTGTGTGACTGATGCAGGGAAACGCAGACTTCAGATATGTGATAAACAATACAATTTATTAACACTAAACCATACAAACATAAACGCAGTGCAATACTAAACATAATACAGTGCAAACAAACCCAACCAATCACCCACAGATAACAGTACATACAAGCAAGCGTCGTCAGGCAGGCCGGGTCAATATTAATTGGGCAGGTAGGTACAGGGGGAGCAAGCAGAGAATGGTCGGGGTCACAGGCCAGGTTCAACAGGTAGCAAGCAGCGTAGTACAGAGGGTCAGGCAGAGGGATGGTCAGGGTCACAAGCCAGGGATCAAAACAGGTAACAAGCAGCGTAGTACAGAGGGTCAGGCAGAGGGACAGAAACAGGATGCAGGACAGATACAGGGCCCAGGACAAACACAACACCAAGGCAGAGTCTGTGGGTCTGGCCATCCCTTAAATACCCCAGCATCATCAGTTCCAGGTGTTAGCTGGCTGAAAGGTTGAGTCTCTGATTGCTGGGAGCACCCCGCTGGTCAGCCCTGGTACTGCAGATCAAAAGGCAGGTGAGTGCCACCATTGCTGGCCAGTCCATTCCTGACAGTACCCCCCCCCCCCCAAGGAGCGGCCTCAGGACGCTCCAAACAGTCCTAGCTGGGCAAAATGTTCCACCGCCCGGTCTGGTAACTGGCGGGATATCAAAGACTGGCACACCGGGCAGGACTCCGGGCAGCGGCACACCGGGCTGGACTCCGGGCAGAGGCACACCGGGCTGGACTCCGGGCAGAGGCACATCGAGCAGAGGCACACCGGGCAGAGGCACACCGGGCAGAGGCACACCGGGCAGAGGCACATCGGGCAGGACTCCGGGCAGAGGCACATCGGGCAGGACTCCGGGCAGAGGCACATCGGGCAGAGGCACATCGGGCAGGACTCCGGGCAGAGGCACATCGGGCAGGACTCCGGGCAGAGGCACAATCGGGCAGGACTCCGAGCAGAGGCACATCGGGCAGGACTCCGGGCAGAGGCACATCGGATTACCAGGCGAAGCAGCAGGCAGCGGGCCACCAGGCGGAGAGCAGGCACCGGGCCCCCGGGCGGAGCAGCAGGCACCGGGCCCCCGGGCGGAGCAGCAGGCACCCGGGCCCCCCGTGGCGGAGCAGCAGGCACCGGGCCCCCGGGCGGGGCGAACCGGGCCCCCCGGGCGGGGCAGCAGGCACCGGGCCCCCGGGCGGAAGCAGCAGCAACCGGGCCCCCGGGCGGAGCAGCAGGCACCCGGGCCCCCCGGGCGGAGCAGCAGGCACCGGGCCCCCCGGGCGGGGCGGCGGGCGCCGGGCCCCCAGGAGGGGCGACCGGCGTCGGGCCCCCAGGCGGGGCGACAGGCATCGTGCCCCCAGGCGGGGCGACAGGCATCGGGCCCCCAGGCGGGGCGACAGGCATCGGGCCCCCAGGCGGGGCGACAGGCATCGGGCCCCCAGGCGGGGCGACAGGCAATCGGGTCCCCAGGCGGGGCGACAGGCATTGTGCCCCCAGGCGGGGCGACAGGCATCGTGCCCCCAGGCGGAGCGGCGGGCGCCGGACCCCCAGGCGGAGCGACAGGTCTCGGCCCTCAGGCGGAGCGGGGCGGTCGCCGGACCCCCAGATGGAGCGACAGGTCTCGGGCCCTCAGGCGGAGCGGCGGGCGCCGGACCCCCAGGCGGAGCGACAGGTCTCGGGCCCTCAGGCGGAGCGGCGGGCCGCCGGACCCCCAGGAGGAGCGACAGGTCTCGGGCCCTCAGGCGGAGCGGCGGGCGCCGGACCCCCAGATGGAGCGACAGGTCTCGGGCCCTCAGGCGGAGTGGCGGGCGCCGGACCCCCCCCAGGTGGAGCGACAGGTCCTCGGGCCCTCAGGCGGAGCGGCGGGCGCCGGACCCCCAGGCGGAGCGACAGGTCTCGGGCCCTCAAGGCGGAGCGGCGGGCGCCGACCCCCAGGCGGAGCGACAGGTCTCGGGGCCCTCAGAGGCGAAGCGGCGGGCGCCGGACCCCCAGGAGGAGCGACAGGTCTCGGGCCCTCAAGCGGAGCGGCGGGCGCCGGACCCCCAGGCGGAGCGACAGTCTCGGACCCTCAGGCGGAGCGACAGGTCCTCGGGCCCTTAGGGCTCGGAACGACAGGTCTCAGGCCCCCAGGCGGGGCGGCGGGCCGCCGGACCCCCAGGCGGAGCGACAGGTCTCGGGCTCTTAGGCGGAACGACAGGTCTCAGGCCCCCAGGCGGGGCGGCGGGCACCGGTCACCAGGCACAACCGTGGGCTCCGAGTCAACTGGGATGACCGCTGGGCACTGGGTCAGACATTGGATCGTCTGGCTGGACAGCGGGCATCGGGTCACCAGGCATCAGGTCATTTGGCTCGACAGCGGGCACCGCGTCATCTGGCAAGGCAGTGGGCTCCGAGTCAACTGGTATGACCGCGGGCACTGGGTCAGACATTGGATCGTCTGACTGGACAGCGGGCATGGGTCACCAGGCATCAGGTCATTTTTGGCTCGACAGCGGGCACCGCGTCAAAACTGGCAAGGCAGTGGGCTCCGAGTCAACTGGTATGACCGCGGGCATGGGTCAGACATTGGATCGTCTGACTGGACAGCGGGCATCGGGTCACTAGGCATCAGGTCATTTGGCTCGACAGCGGGCACCGCGGTCATCTGGCAAGGCAGTGGGCTCCGAGTCAACAGGCACGACAGGAGCACCGGGTCATCAGGTACCGGATTTGTCTGGCTCGACAGCGGGCATCGGGTCACCAGGTATGACAGCGGGCACTGGGTCACAAGGTCATCAGGTCATTTGGCTCGACAGCGGGCACCGGATCAGGTACCGGATCATCTGGATCAACAGCGGGCATCGAGTCATACTGGCCTAATAGGATCGTCAGGCTGGATCAGGCTCATCATGCTGGGTAGAGGCATCAGGCTGAATGCCGGCGTCCGGGCGACTGAGTAGAGGCTTCAGGCCGAGTAGAGGCTTCAGGCCGAGTAGAGGCTTCAGGCCGAGTAGAGGCATCAGGCCGAGTAGAGGCATCAGGCCGAGTAGAGGCTTCAGGCCGAGTAGAGGCATCAGGCCGAGTAGAGGCATCAGGCTGAAGAGAGGCATCAGGCTGCATACAGGCATCAGGCTGAAGAGAGGCATCAGGCTGCGTACCGGCATCAGGCTGAAGAGAGGCATCAGGCTGAGTAGAGGCATCAGGCTGAGTAGAGGCTTCAGGCTGAGTAGAGGCTTCAGGCTGAGTAGAGGCTTCAGGCTGAGTAGAGGCATCAGGCTGAGTAGAGGCTTCAGGCTGAGTAGAGGCTTCAGGCTGAACCACGGAAGGCAGGCTCCCCGGTTTGGATACTGGCAGGATGGTATTGGTTGGAAAGAATTTTCGCTTTTTTCTGGTTTTAACTACTGGAGCACTGCAAGTAAACGCAGGTCTGCAAACGAATGGAGCAGCTGGAGACAGAGAAGAACTGGAGGATGGAACAGGAGAGGGAGCAGTTGCTACAGAGGGCTCTTTTTACAGGGTTAAAGGCAGGATAGGTGCAGCGAGTGGGAACAGGGTACTGACATGCGGTAGATAGCAGGGCAGGAGGAGCTGTTGGGAATGCAGGAATAGAGTTTTGAGGAAATAGATTAGAAGCAGGACTGGGTCTTTGTAAGCTGACTGAGGCTGGGTGCAACAAAATCTGTCCATGTCTGCAGTATGGGTTGAACAAAGCTGAGCTTACACAAAGCCTGTCTGGTCAATGACTGCACTGCGTTTATACAATCTCTTAGTGTCTGTGGTGAACATGTGGAATAACGCTCCAGAAAGTAACCCACATCATCTTCTAATAACCACACCAGGGACTCTACCTGGTCTGCACTAAATGGTGGCAAAAATTCATCCCTGCATTCGGGGGTACCAGATGAAACCAACTCAGCACAAACCTCAATCAATGGCTGCACCTCAGAGAACTCTGTGCCCTGATCTACTAGAACATGAGCGAGCCGTATACATTCTAGCAGTTCATCCCGGGTATACTCCTTCAGAGTTTGATAAGCATACTCCCTGTCATCAAACACTAGCAGATATAAATATTCAACCTCATCAAGATCCATCCTTCCCATCAACAAGCCAAGATGGCTTCCCTGTGCAGCCACTTCTGGTCAGGATTGGCCTTGGTGTAATGTCAGGGCTCCCAGGTATGACCAGAGGTGTGTGACTGATGCAGGGAAACGCAGACTTCAGATATGTGATAAACAATACAATTTATTAACACTAACCATACAAACATAAACGCAGTGCAATACTAAACATAATACAGTGCAAACAAACCCAACCAATCACCCACAGATAACAGTACATACAAGCAAGCGTCGTCAGGCAGGCCGGGTCAATATCAATTGGGCAGGTAGGTACAGGGGGAGCAAGCAGAGAATGGTCGGGGTCACAGGCCAGGTTCAGCAGGTAGCAAGCAGCGTAGTACAGAGGGTCAGGCAGAGGGATGGTCAGGGTCACAAGCCAGGGATCAAAACAGGTAACAAGCAGCGTAGTACAGAGGGTCAGGCAGAGGGACAGAAACAGGATGCAGGACAGATACAGGGCCCAGGACAAACACAACACCAAGGCAGAGTCTGTGGGTCTGGCCATCCCTTAAATACCCCAGCATCATCAGTTCCAGGTGTTAGCTGGCTGAAAGGTTGAGTCTCTGATTGCTGGGAGCACCCGCTGGCCAGCCCTGGTACTGCAGATCAAAAGGCAGGTGAGTCCCACCATTGCTGGCCAGTCCATTCCTGACAGGGGGCCCCATGAGATGCCCCTGGTACCTTTATCATAGGCTTTTTTGAGTTTGGGCAAGGACACAGGGGCCCCATGATCCCCTATTGCCCGGGGGCCCCATGAGTTGTCAGTCCGCCCCTGGGTGCAGCCCTCCTCAGACGGGGAAATCAGCCACTTGATAGAGAGAAAACAGGTGGCGCACACACCTAGTGAATTATCCAAGGTTTATTGTAGGAGTGAAAGAATAATAAAAACATACTCACAGACGAAGCATGTATCTAAAAAGCATAGAAAAATTACAATGGCCACAACAGCAGGCAAGGTGTTCTCACTGTCAGTGCGGTCAAATGGCTGACGCGTTTCGGGGACGAATCCCTTTCCTCAGAGCTGATGACCAGCCTCTGATGCAGATGTATGATGAATGGAAAGTAGGAACCTAGCTGTTGATGCCTGAGTGGGATGGTGTGGGAGTGTGCTTTATGCCTGTGGGGAAATGGCTCAGAATTACTACATAGTTGACTAAAAATACAGTCAGGCAAGATAATGGCTATCCTCATCAATCAGTGTGTGGCACAGGAGGAACTAATAAATCAATCCCAGTCAGAAAGCAGTAATAGGTCAGTTCCTCCTTGTTTGGTGACTTATATCCTGGGCATATGTAATAAAGTTGCAGGATCTCATGCATTTGGTAGTTCTGGGATGGTAGAGAGACGATAGCAACAAGTCATCAGACCTTGCATTGCTGGCATCAATATTTAGGGGCACAGTGGAAAAAGCATTGTAAGTGTAGCACACATAGCGCATAAAGCAAGCACAGATGATGTCAGCAAATAGCGGTAGTGACAGGGCAGTTAGCAAGCTATTGACATGGGGAGCTAACATGCTGTAAGCATATACAGTAGTTAGTTCTAGTCCATATGGACAGTCAAGCACAGATGGCAGTCAGCATTTAGTGGTAGTGGCAGAGCTGTTAGCAAGCTATTGAAATAGGAAGCTATCGCTCTGCAAGCACATAATTGGTTCTCGTCCATATGGAACAGACAACATCATGTATGTTGGGATGATGGTCCCTGCTTCCTTGTAAATCACAGGAATGCACTTCGTTCTGCACTCCTGTGACCCATTTTCAGCCAACAGTGGGCTAAAGTCTGCTGTTGGCTAACATCATTGAACCGGTCCAGACTCTAGAGAGATCCTGACTTTAATGTTGGGATGCACCCAGATTCCTGACTGGCAGCTGACTCAGCATCTCAACGAGCCGCTGCACAGCCTTGTGCTCCAGTGAGAGCTGGAGGGGCAGAGCAGAGAGCAACAGTGATTGACAGTCTGCGCTCACTGAAGTCTTTGAGGCGGCGGAGGACAGATGCAGCAATGGACTGATGCTGCATCCACCTAGGTGAAATGCAGTTTATGTTTTTAACTCCCAACTGCTCTATTAAATCCATGGGCTTTGGCTAAATGAAGAAAATTGTGGAAATTTACTTTGGACAGTCAGAAGCCAGTCAATCCATGTTGAATTTAAAACCAGATCTGTTAAATCATCACTGGTATTACATGTGGGCCCCATGGAGGTAGAGACAGCCACTGGCTGTTCTAAAAATATTTTGTATGTGCAGGGTTAATTTACACTTATTGGTGAGAAAACACCAATTTTCTTGGTTTATGTTGATATGAAAGACCAATATACGTAGTAACACATAGTTTCAAAGTCAAGATTAAAAAGCAAGTAATGAGCGAGTATTGATTAATTCAGATAATTACCATGGATGATTGCTGTGAATGAGAGCGAACATGATAAGTGCCTTTCTAATATTGGAAATGTGTTAAAATTAATGGTTTATTATTGAATTAAAAATATGTCTAGCACAATTCATATGTCTATTTAGCACCATAATTCATGTGTGCAAGAAACAGTATGCAAGAACAGAGTTCAGCCAGATCAATACTCTTTTTACAGTCTTAATTACTAAATATTCTTTCAATACACCGAACGGGATGACGTTTTGATTTGCAAGGAATCTTGTTCATTCACATTTTAAGGTCATGGTAAGTTTTTTTTCAACTACAATGCACTGCATGACCTGTGAACCATGTCCAGCGAACCATGTCCAGCAGGTTTAGAAGAGCCAGTAAGAAGAAATTTGGATAAATCAGCAATTCTTTGGGTCTGGTATGGATTTTGCGGGGATCTCATGCCTAAAGAAAAAAAATGGTGTGAGCCCCCCCACAATATCATAAATCCATACCAGACCCTTATCTGAGAATGCAGCCTAGCAGGCCTGTGAGGTGAAGGGCCAAGCATGCGGCCTTATCCCTCCTGAACCATACCAGGTCACATACCTTCAGCATGGGGGAGGTTGCTTGGCAAAGACCCTTGTCCCCATGGTGACACATGGGGGCTGGTACTTGGGGGCCACCTTATTAGTGGAGGTTTCCAGATTCTGATAAGTCACCACCCACACCTCCACAGCCATTGGGCCAGGATTGTGGGGAAGAGGACCTTGTCTTCAGCAACATGGGGACAGGGTGCTTTGCCAGGGCCCCACCTATCCCACTTTTCTCTGGCCTGCCGGGCTGCATGCTCAGATAACGGTCTGGCATGTATTTTGGGAGGGACCTCATGCCAATGGCTCTTGCTTCTGGCTCAGCAAAAGAGGAAGTAGAGTCTCCAGGAGGGCCAAGGCTCTCATGCACATGAGGGGCTCAGTTAAGTAGTGGTGGTGGGGGGCTGAGGGAGGAGCTGCCATCAGGTTTTTTTTACCTGCATGCATAGATTACACAATAGTAAAAAAGCACTATAAGTCTGTAGGTTCCTAATGGCAGAGGAGTGCCTGGGCACCCTCACATACCATTTTTTTAGGAGTAATTCAAGACTTAAAGTAGCTCTTGCACAGGAGAAGTATGGAGAATTGCCTTGCAGGCCTCCAGTTAAAACTTTATAATATGCTATTCAAGGTTATCACATAATATATGGATCGATATTTTGGGAAGATTCTTTAAATATCCTTTGAATATTAAAGGAATAATTTCTATTAAAATAACATGAAGTCAACAAACAACTGAAACATTTTACTATCATTTTTTGCATATTACTTTAGGGTAATTAGTCATTCTTTCCATTTGTGCTTGGAACAGAGTTCCAATGAAACTGTAAAAAAATAAAAGTCAGCAGATGACTTTTAAAAAA